TCTTAAATGTAATCAGACAGCAGTATTTGTTCAACTACAGACTAGCAGGAAGCTGTTACTAGAACTAATTCTTAAAACACGGTTGACGTGTGAAACCTACAGTAAATTAAAAATGGTTTAGGGTTGGTGAGCAGTAGGGGTGACAGGCATGTCTGAATAGTCTTTTGGCATTACCTGGCCCCCTATTTAGTTTTGCATACATGTTTTGGGGTGTTTTGAAGGAACCCCCTATTTTCAGGTTGGCTGCCCCTACTCTCTTTTGTGTTTGCTCTGTTACTAAGTGCCTACCCATCTTTCCCTGAATAGTCTGCTGATAGGAAAAATATGTACTTGATAGTAATCAATGACTGTTGGTCTAGTCACATGGAATCAGCTGTCAGAAGCAGTTGATGCTGTGATAAACAGATTGTCACAGACCTTCTGCAGCTGGCAAATTTTCAGCTCCTTGGGCACATATACGAGAATAGAGGTTTATTTAAACAGGGATCTAAAAGCACCAGAACCAACAGAACAATTGAGCTGCGTTTTGTTTGTAATATATATATACACACACACAAGATAATACAAAATACAATATAATACAAACAAGACACAGCTCAATTGTTCTCTGTATATATATATATTTACACTGATCACAACAACATTAAAAACAGAGACAGATGAAGTGAATAACATTAATTATATCAATACAATGGTACCTGTCAATGGGTGGGATATATTTGGCCTCTACTGAACAGTCAGTTCTTCAGAATTTCATATGTTGGAAGCAGGAGAAATGGGCAAACAAAGACTGACTTTGACAAGGGCCTAATAGTGACTGCTAGATGACTGAGTCAGAGAATCTCCAAAACAGCAAGTCTTGTGCGATGTTCCCATTATGCAGTGGTTAGTACCTCCGAAAATAATGCAAAGAAGGACAACTGGTGAACTGGCATCAGGGTCATGTGCGCCTAAGGCTTATTGATGCAAATCGGGAGTGAAGGCTAACCCATCTGGTCTGATCACACAGAAGAACTACTGTAGCTCAAATTGCTAAGAAACTTAATGCTGCCCATGAAAGAAAGGTGTCAGAACACACAGTGCATCACGGTTTGCTGCGTATAAGCCCACATAGCTGCAGACCGGTCAGAGTGCCTATGATGACCCTAGTCCACCGCGTAAAGTGTCTTTATTGGGGACGTCAGAACTGGACCAAGGAGCAATGGAAGAAGGTTGCCTTTTCTGATAAATCAAATAGATCAGACCACATAGATCAGGGTGGGCGTTCGTTGTTTACCTGGGGAAGCAATGACAACAAGATGCACTATGGGATAAAGACAGGCCAGTGGAGGCAGTGTTATGCTCTGGGCAATGTTCTGTTGGCATACGTTGGATACTAATATTCATGGATGTTACTTTGACACGTATCACCTACTTAGAGATAATTGCAGACCATGTGCACCCCTTCATTTCAATGGTGTTCCCTGATGGCAGTGACCTCTTTCAGAAGGATAATGCACCCTGCCACAGTGCAAAGATTGTTCAGGAATGGTTTAAGGAACCTGACAAAGAGTTCAAAGTGTTACATTAGCCACCAAATTCACAAGGTCCACTTGAGCATCTGTGGGATGTGTTGAAAGAACAAATCCGATACATGGAGGCCCGACTCGCAACTCACAGGACTGCTGCTAATATTTTGGTGGCAGATATCACAAGACACATTCAGAGATCTTGTGGAGTCCATTCCTCGACTCATCAGAGCTGTTTTCGCAGTACAAGTTGGACCTACATGATATTAGGTAAGTGGTTTTAATATTGTGGCTGATCAGTGTGTGTATATATATATATATATATATATATATATATATATACTGTTGTTTGTATTATTAAAGTTGGTGGCTGTTTATATTTAAGATGCAAAAAATATCTAGCAAAGACAAAAAAAGTCATACGTATACAATCTCCCCCATCACCCAAGTATTGACCATAGTTAAATACTATCACAGTTTGTTTTCTTGCGTTTGTTTTTTCCTGTCTGAGATATGAGTATTTCCTTTCCTTTTTAAAGCAGTGGGTGGTGTGATAAAGGCAATATTACATTCAGAGATGGATCTAAAGGAAAATGCCACTGCAGTTTTATTAACATTTGCTTATTTCATAGCATCAGACTTTACATGTTTATTCACTAAATAGTGAATCATGTGGAAATCAAAAGTAATTCTGAGGCTCCTTCACTGAACATTCAAGTGAATTGATTTTTTTTATTTTGTAGTCACAACTATGCCTATCTTCACCTAAAATTTGCAGTTTGGTTTTCAACTTACTATAACAGTGAATAAACCTCACAATGAATTTAAAGTTTTAGCCGATAGCCAAATTAAAAATATTGCCGACTTAAAATTTTAAATTCACATTGAAGTCACTATTAGTTCCAGACAATTCAAACTTTAGTGAATAAGATCTATTAAAAATACTGCACTACCTTTGCTTCAGCAATCTATCTGATACGTGTTTAAAACTA